GGGTCCTGGTTGGCCCTCGGTGACATCAAATGGTCCCTCGTAGTCTCTGGGGAAGGTGGGCACATTGTCGTTGATGTCATTCACGTTCACAAGCACCTGAGATGATGGGCGAACTTAGTCAGGACTGCACCCCAGACAGCCCTGTTCATCTGTAAACTGGATCTGATAATCCTGCCTCATAGGATGATGGAAGAATCATACTGGTTAATGGATGTGGGAGGGCTTTTTAAGCTATTCATGTGGATAAGCTATTGTTATTGTCAAAGTCTCTCTATGGGTATCATAATATTATTAATAATAATGCTATGAACTTCTGTTTATTGCTGTACTATGGTCATCGTTTTTCTGGTTTCATTTGCTCCTCCCACACCCTGAAACAGTTTTTTATTATCCCCCCTTTACAGAGGAGGAAAGTGAAGCTCAGGGAGGTTAAGTGACTTGCCCAGAGTCACACAGTTAGGAAGCAGAAGATCAGGGACATGAACCCCTGTCGGTCTGACTGGAGTTTGCGCCCTTCCCATGAAGGGGAGGAAGGCAGGTGTCATCATCTATCTGATAGCGGCAGCCACACAGAGAGGTTCAGTGACCTCCTCAAAGTCACACTGCAAGTTCGGGTGAGTTGCTGAGACCAGGACAGGGCTTGTGGATTTAGGCGTTTCTCCTGGAGACCCCGCTTCCCCACAGGACCTTTCTGTGACCTGTCCTACCCCACCCCCAAGTTGGGGCTCTGTCCCATCTACCCACCCACCCACCGTGGTGGTAGAGGTGAGGCGATGGGACAAGATGGGACACTGGTCCGTGGCGGTGACGATCAGGGTGTAGCGGCCATGGCTGATCTCGTAGTCCAGCTCCTTGGCAGCATAGATGACACCCTGCAGGATAAGTAGAGGGAACGAGGGTGGATCAATAGGTGGTGGGTCTGGGGCACCCTCTGACCACCCCAGGAGGGAGGTAGGCCCTAACATCCTGGCTATGACAGGGAGCCCCTGTTGTCCTCTAAACCAGGCCCCACCCAACCTTTTCATCCTCCCGTACTGGCTGGCGCCCCCCCCCC